GTTAACATCATTCTGTTGCATAAATTTTTCTTAACAAAGAACCCTAACCCCCCTTTTTTCTTTCCCCTTCTTTGGTGGTTCCTTAATAGGTTTTTTGATGCTTATAATAATCTAAATGCATAATATATTGAAGATTGAAGGCAAAAATTCTTTAAAAATGCACTTTTCTAAATATTAAGGTTGCTAAATCCTAAGGTAGCATAAAACTATGAATCAAAATATTAAATTAACAGAACCTAGAGTTCATGCAATTATGCATGTATTTTTTGAGTCCCTTTTTTATGGTCAACGTATTTTTTCAGTCCTTAAAATTTGCACTTTCCTCAAAAGTGAAGTGATATTCATCAAAAGAAAAGGTTTTCAGGGCCATTTTAATTATAACATGCATTTGATTGGTGTTTCTCAGGGAACACTTGATCTAGGCTTTCTTAATTTTATTGGGTATGTTTGGGAAGCTTGGTTTGGTTTATAAATTGAGAAGAGAAATTGGGGTCATAAAATCAGTAGTTCAAAGTAAGTTTTATATTTTATTTAACTTTTCTTTCCCCTTCCCATTGTTAGTGTTGGTTATATTCAACATTCTCTAGTTGCTGATGTTGTCACTTGTTCGAACATAACAATCTATTGGTGCTGATAAATTATTATCATTAATGTTAGGTAATTTGTGGCATAAATTGTGGGAAACAGCCAAGCCAATTCCAGCTTTCAAGCAGACACCCCTCTTCGATGAGGATTTGGCAGTGTAAGTTTTATAGTTTCATCTTTTTTGATATATATTTAGCATTCTTGGATTTTATATTGAAGGAGCATCTCTGACTATAGCAGCTTGGTTTAATGGATTCTGCAGGGAAGGGATTCTGAATTTTTTGGATGACATTCCACCTTCTGAGCTTTTTCAACAACTATTTGTTTCTGTTGTAAGTATCTTATCAAACCAAGCAGAAATACATTATCAATATATGTTATATTTCTATGTACCAAAAAATATATATTATATTTCCAACATGTAATCCAGCAGATATATTATATTCAACATTTTCTTGTCAATAAGGTCTCATACACAAATATAGTCATATTTGACATGGTCAATTCTGTTTTATGGTCATGCATAGATGCAAGAAAAGTTGTGTGATGTCATCTTCAAGAATCAAGATGCAGAGGCCAGAGCCCTGTATTTTTCTTGCTTACCTATTTTTGAGGAAATTTATGTTCTGATTCCCATGGTTCATATGCTGCATGCTCTGCATAGATCAAACTCCTCGCCCTCCTTCCAAACAACCACCTAAATGGGGAATGTACTTCAATCAACTACCTCTTTCTAAGATGTGCTGATAATATCTCATAATTTGGAATTTTCAGCTTGGTTTGGGGTTTGTACTTGCTGAGGCCAAGCTCTGCACCGATGGGAATTTGTCAAAGCTGTTTTACGAGTGCAAAGACTATGTTGTTGCAACTTGCCAAGGAGGTAGTTGGAATGAAAAGCTTGAAAATCTTTCCCAGGTAGGTAATATTTGATAATGACTGATCATATGTTTATGAAGTGTTATTTGCCTAGGCATCCTTCCTAATGTCCTCGGGGAAATTTTGGTAACCCATTAACAGAAACAGCATGAATTTACATAGAAACTGTGTTTTTTGAGTGGCCAATTTTAGATTTATTAGATTTCTTCTTAAGTTTGCACATCAGTTTTCCCAAGATTTCGTTACTTTATAGAAGTGTGTCTAAATGTGCCCGTTTTGAAGCTGGTTCCTTGGAAATTAAAGTAAATAATACTAAAGCATTGATGTGAATTCCGTTATAGGTGTACAAAACAGTGGAAACATTGTTACTCTCTCCTGAGGAAGTCCTAAAATCTATGAAGCCAACAGAAGAGATCCATGTTGTTGAACCAGAAAACCCTGAAAGTGAACTAAAACGTCGCATTAAGAAGCTTGGCCTCAACTTCGGTGGCAAGATTAGACAGCAGCCAAATGATCAAAAGAATTCAGATCAGAACTCAATTCGCCAACCATTCTCTAGCTTTTTCGATAGCAAGTCATCTTTGTTTTCAAAGAAGCATCAAGGGACTGAGAATCTACCACCAGCTTGCAAAACTCTTTCTCCAGATGAAAATGATTGGACACTTGTTTGATTGTACCCTTTCCTTCCAATTGATTCAACAATATACATGGTTTTGCAGGTAATTGTAAATTATTTTGAAGCAATGCCCTGATTGTAGTCAATACCAGGAATCTAAAAGTTTTGATAGATTCCGAAAAGAATGAAATGCAATTCATTACCATCTTGTTCTTCAAGAATTTGATTTTCTGTTTCTTTGAATTGTGATGAAGTCGGTTTTACAAAACACTCTAGTCCTCTATTGCAGAATGAAGATACAAAAGTGTAGATCAGGATTTTGCAATAGTTGAAGAATGCAGCAATGTTATTTCTCTAGATGTTATTTATTCAATGATAAAAGATACCATAGACACTTCCAGGTATATTTGTGCTGTTGAACCTTCCTGTGTGCCTTCATTTCTGAACTTAGTCTGCCATCTTCATCTCACGAGGGAGTGTCTTCCTCATTAGCGTTCTTCTCTTTATCAAATCCATAATACTTGGATATGAAATACGGAGCCACAAAGTTTGCTATGAAGTACATTCCCAAAAGCAACACACTGCATCAAGAAATAAAAGGTAAAAACACGAAAAAGAGAAAAGAAAAGAAAAACAACGCTGTTTTCTTTCAAATTCAACTTAGAATGCCTAAGGGAAGAAATTGAACATACCTTGTTTGGATGAGGACTGTAATATCACCGGACTTGGCTGGAGAAGTAACCCCAATGACTACAGAATTGGTGATGGCTTTAGTCCTCAAGTGCACGAATGAAGGAACCTTTGCTCTATGCATAACATCAAGCCTCATGGCTTCATTTCTATAGAGCCAACGCCAATCTCTTGCTTTCAAATCCTGGTTGTGTTTGAGGTATGAATGCAAGGAAGAGGGAAAATGGATGCATCTCATGGTAGGAAAATTTTGGGGTTGAGGCAGAATGGTTTGGATAATGTTCGCAGACTAATGGATATTTGTGGTGGTTCCTTATTGGGTGGAAAACACCTTCTTGGGCTTGGGCCCAGCTTGGGTTTTTTTTACCAAAATTCGAATTCTATTTTTTTTTTTCTTCTAAAAGTAAAAGGGGCTTGAGGAATAGTTAGGCAAATCATGCAAATAAGCCCTTAAACTTATCAAATAGTGGCAAATAAGCACCTCAACCTAAATCAATGGCAAACAACCCCTTAAACTAGATAACAGTGGCAAAGAAACCGTTACCTGAGTGATTGACATCATCAATCCATTAAAAACTAATGGTGCTCTGGTTGAGTGGGATCAACTGTTGAGTTAGAGGCCATGTGGATTTTTTTTGAGCGTGACATGGCATTTTATACTTGTTTATTATGTCAATTAAACAAATTAAAATAATTAAAAATAAACTAAAACTAATTGAAAAGACAAAAATATCATTCTATACTCTCCTATCTTTGCCTTCCCTTTCTCTTCTTCACTTCCTTTCCCTTCTTCGTTTCTCTCCTTTACCCCTTAGAAGCTTCCTATAACACTGGATCACCAAATCAGCATGAATTGGCAAGCCATGTTTCAATTAGGACCTTACGGTTGCTGAACGATGAGTTCAGGGCCAAAACGGGCTGCAAAACTCAGAAAAACATAAGTTGCAATAATTCAATTTCTTAATTTTGCTTATAGTTTTTGGTTTTCTTTTTTTTTTTTTTTGGTTATTTTTGCTGAGTCAATTGTGATCAAGGTTGTCAAAATCGAGATTTTACCTAAAATCATTTTGGTTAGGTGAAATCGGAATCGTAAAATCGAATCGATAAAATCGAGATTTTATAAAATTTAATATATAATATATAATAAATTATATAAAATCAAAATTAAATAACAATAAATCAAATTTAG